CCACCTCCGGCGTCCCGCGAAGGACATTCGAAAACCGCTCCAACGCCGCCTGCGAAGGGGAGTAACGCGGCAGAGGGAATTCGTTTGGCAGAGGCCGAGGAGACGAGAGCGGCGCGGTTGGCCGCGACTCCACGGCATCCGGCGGATTCCTCGGAGGGGGGGTCCGTGGGGGCGGTGGGGTGAGAATTTGAATGGGAATATCCGCCGTGGCGCTTCGAGGGGACCGCTGCCGGCCCTCCCGCCGCTTGGGCGGGGGGGAAGGGGTCGGTTGAGGGCGACGGCTGCGGGAACGGTGTCGCTTCTGTGAGAGCCCCGAGGAGCCGTGATCGCTGATGGTCGACTTGGAAAGGTTCATAGGGGTTTTCGGATTGCCCTCGCTAGGAACGGGGGAGATGGAGGAGCGCTTTAGCGAGTGCAAAGGTACCGCGATTGGGGAGGGGCGATAGGAGAGGGAGAATCGCATCGGGGGCTGCTGCCGTGGGTGCGGGGTGCGGGATTGCAGAGGGAGCCCCTTGCCCTCCGGACGACTACGCGCTCGGGCAGATTCGGTGGAGGTCTCTTGAGGTGGTGGGGTGGTTCGAAGGGTAGGCTGCGGCTTCGAGGGCTGCAGGTCGGGGGGAGGAGATCGACTGTTTTGGCTTCGGCTGCGAAGGGGGCTCGTCAGGCGAAATCGCATGGCTGGGGGCTTCGCGCACTCCTGAGCCAAGGCCTCACGTCGGCGACGGAGCGTTTCTTGCTCTCGTAGCAGTTGAGAGCTGGTTTGCTTGAGGAACGATTCGGTGTTGATGTTTTCGTTCGGCATTGACTCTTCTTGATGGTTAGCCCGAAGAGGTTAAACAAGGAAAGCGAGTGCTCTGGAAAAGGGTAGAAAAATGAGAATCAAGTTAAAAGAAGCACCTATAGGATATAGTCCTTTCTAGTTGATAAACTGTGGAAAAATAAGCAATCGCTAATGATATATTACTTTCCTAAAATACTATAAGGAAAACAAAGTCTAACGGTAGAAGAAGATTCACACATACGACCCCCCTTCTTTCCAAAGCAAAAAACTAATGATCAGAGACACCTTAGTAAAAGGGTGTTTACCGTTGCAAGAAACGCATCCTTCTTCCCCTCCTCGCCTCATCAAGTTTACCTATTGACTTAATCGATTACTTTAGAGAAGATTTTTAAAAATTGTTCATAAAAAATAAACAAAAGGACAGATCTCGGTGTGGAATGGATCAATGAAGGTACCATACCACGGTAGAAATCCCATACACCCCCTCGCCGCCACACAACGTTCAAGGATTGGAAAAAATGTTCGTACTGAATGTCTCCAACAAGCGCGCGGTAGTCTTGCATTCGCGTCTTCAAAACAGCTATGGGATGGGTGAAGATAGAAAGGATCAGCTTAGTGGCAGTGGAGCAGACAAAGACCTGCCCAAGAGTAAGTTGTTCCTCACGCGAACCACTTGTTAGATAGAGCTTTATCGTTTCGTACAAAGGCAGGTTAAAAGCATTTGGAACGCCCAAAAGCACCTGCGCCGAAACTCCTCGCCAGAGAGAGAGAAACCCTGTGGTTCGCACCGTGTGGTGTATGCTTTCGCAAAACGTTCGGTAATATCGCGGCACCTTCAACGCATCCCCTCTCGCAGCGCGAAACGCGCACTCCTCAAGCTGCATGCGCGTTTTCACCAGCCATATCGGATTGCACATCACGGCGCAGGCGCAGCTGGCGAGAATTGAAATTCCGGAGCGTTGCACGAAGGTGTCGAGGGCCCCGTATACCTGCATCCAATTTCTTGGAGCGGTTTGACTCTCTTGCTTGCCGAAAAGCGGCGCGATCTGGTTGGTATACCCCGCTAACATCAGACGGTAAAGATACATGTAGATGCCCCATGCGCATACCGAGCCTATGATGGCCACATGGCAGCCACGGAAGAACGCCCCGAGGCCCTCTTGCTCATAAATCGCTTTGCAGGCGCTTTTGATGGAGTGGTAGGTTTGCCCGTTGTGTTGTCGGTAAAAGGTTCCATCTTGCGACATATACCGAATGCGAATAACATCAATCGGATACAAGATAATGGTGCTCACGGCGGATCCACACTGAGAGGAGAGGGTGTGCTGAAGAGCACTCGCTTTTCCACTTACTCGTTTGGAGGAGTCAACGTGCGACATACACCCCAATAGCAATACTCGTGGTAATAATGAAATGTTGACACGTCGAAACTAGAAATGCGAAATGTCAATGGTAACAATAATAATATTAAAGATGTTAAAAAATAATGTTAACAAGAATACCCTGCTTACAACTTCCGAGAAGACTCCTTTTGAATAACTGCGTGATATCAAAAGCAATGCCTATCTCTGCTGGAATATGGACTACAGAATTGCCCATGAATTTAGGGCTCTAAAAATGGTGAGAATGTTGTTCCTTTCAAAGGGTAAACAAGCACATTTTTTTCTTAACAAATAAGTTCAAAGGGGTACAAGTAAATTAAATTGAATCTTCTCTTTCTTCCTTTCCATGAATCCTTCCAGTTAAAGTAACAACAAATGCAGCGAATCTTAGAATATCTATAGAAACGTTTTCAAATGTTAAAAGAAATAGAATCAATAAGGAAAAAGGTACGAGACTGCCATCCCAAAGTTAAAGTTACGTCAACATTATGAAGTGAAAAAAGTGAATTTCAATAATGTGGAGAGAAAAGACGTGTCACTTAAGCGTGAAGAAATTCCAACACGAAAGCAAAATGTTTTATTATTTCTACGTGTTTCACACCATGGTGTAAAAAGATGAGGCACAGTAAGTATATATATAAGCGGTAAACAAGTTATAGCGTCGGAAGGTTCAGTAAAGAATAGTTCAGTCCGCAGTTCTAAGCTTTTCGTTTGCACAGCAAACTCAACGTCTCTTCGTAGACGAAGTAATACATCATTGAACGAGGCAACGTGTGGAAGATCGAGGCGTAAAAGCCACGATACAGGCCGTGGATGCCTTGCATCCTCAGAACCGTCATGAGGGCTTGCGGAGCGGTCACGTAGTGCGGCGCGCCGATTCTCGATCGATGATCCTGGAGCCGAACCCTCAACGTCATGATGGGGTGCGAAAGTATAAGTATTAATATCTTCGTGGTCGCTGAGCAGGCCGCGATCTCGTAATTGCTCAGATCAGGCGACGAATCGGTATGCTGCCAGCGGTACCGTAGGATGAGAGATTTGAGGTAGTCGTACGTGGGCAGATTAAGCGAATTCGGGAATGAAAGCAGCAGCTGGAGCGACGTTCCGCGCCAAAGCGAGAGCACCCCAGACGTCCTCGTAGCGTGCCGGATGCCGCTCCTAAAGGTCCGATAAGATGATCCCTTCGTGGTCTCCTCCAGCTGCATACGCGACTTAATCAAAAAAAATGGATTACTAATTAAACAGGACGTCGTGCTCGCCACCATGGAAAGCAGGAACCGACTCGGATAGGAGGTGAACTCGGTAAGGTTGCAAAGCTGACGATAAATCGACATGTACACCCCCCACGCGAGAGCGGAGCCCCAGACGGCGATATACCACCCCCGGAAGAGCGCCCGAGCCCCTTCCTCCCGCAGGATCGCGCGCAACGATTGGAGGAGGGAGGAGTAGGTCTGCCCGTTATGCTGGCGGTGGATGGTCCCATCCTGCGACATAAACCGCGTCCGAAGGAAATCAAAAGGGTAGAAAACGAAGGTGCTGCTCGTGGAGGCGAGAAGGGAGCCAAGGGTGTGATACGCGACGGGAGACCGCCGCCCAATTACTGCGAGCGCAACGGGCTCCTCCATCTCCATCTCCATCTCCATCTCCTCTACCTTCCCCTCCCTTTCCTTCTTCACCACCCTCGATGACGAGGAAAGCGGAGAACTCCCCCTTTGGAGCGAACGACATTCACAGGAGGGGTCGCAGCAGCCGAGATGGCTTTCCAAGGCGGTGGGATATGAACCATTTACAAGATGGCGCTCCGCCCTCAGCGTATCGAGTTCAACAGCACTCGGGAGGAAACTTTTCGCAAAACTTTGCATGATACTTAGGTCCAACACATTTACCAATACTCCTTTAATACTAACTATAATCAACAAAGCAAAACAACAAGAACGACTCAACCTTGGGATAGGGTAAGCACCAGAGAAGTAAAGGTAGACGCACGGTATATCAAAGCATCCAAGTATATTGGAAGAAAAGAATCATCCCATCACGGAATCGATGGCTTCCAAATTAATAAGGGCGATAAGATCTCTTTTTTTTCCCATTCCATTTCTCGCTGTTCCTCCAGATTGACCACAACGGCCCATCTAAGTGTGTGGCTTTAGTCAACAAAAAAATGTCTAAGAAAGATAAAAGCGAAAGAAAGGACCGGAAGGATGTTTGACCCACGTATGCAAACCGTCCTCGATCAGCTTCGTTGCTCTGCCATTGCATGTCTAATGCAAAGAAATAGCTGAACAAATATGCACACACACACACAGACATATACATGCATATACATATATATAGACACATGTATATACGTATGAGAGCGTCAGACGTTAGGTAAAAAAAAAGATAGTACCTCTACAAATTTTTTTTAGGCATCTGAGCCATGCGTTTTAGAGATGAAAAAATAAAGATTAGAAACAATGAAGCTATTAAGAACGCCTTGGCCTTTTATTTTACTCTGTAAGCACTTTAGCCATCTTCTTTTTCCATTCCCCTTCAATCGTTTCTTCTCATTATGGGCATGTTTAGTTTTCAGATTAACTTCCCTCTCTCCCTCCCTTTTCGTTTACTCGGAAATCATGATTCCTTTCTTACCCATTTCCTCCTATCCAACACAAGTGAGTGATTCGCAGACTCATTTTGAGGTTGTGTTCATCAAAGCATCTGCCCGTGTTTGATTCTGTTGAAGCCGATTTCCTGTTTCCAAGAAAGGGTTTATGGGCTCATTGGTGGAGAGGGTGGAGAATCCAGGGATGGTCTCCTCCCGCCGCCGCCGCTCCTCCGCCTCCTGCAGCCTATTCTCCGCCTCGGCCCCCCACACCTGAACCTCGATGAGGAAATCCGACAGTACCGTTTCAAACGCGGCCTCCTTTTTGTATGCATCGTAGCAGCGGTCGACAAAATCGAGCACGGTCGGTTTTGTGATCGTCGGGATCACCAAAAGGAGATCGGCGAGGTAGGCGGTAACCGCATCCCGTCCGAGCACGGGCGTCTCCCGCGGGACCATCTCCGTCACCGCGAACAACCGGCGTAGGATGCTGCAATGAAAAGGAAACCCCGCGGCGTGGAAGAAATCCATCGCGGCGTGCAACACCTCCTCAAAGATGCGATGCAAAAACGCGTTGTAGAAAGCCTCCGCCAACGGGTAGTGGACGATCGTCTCCAGGAAGTGGTCGAGGGTTTGGAGGCCGGTCGACATCGTGGGGTAGTCGCGGTGGCGAATCGCCCAGAGCATACCCTCCAAAATATCCGAATGATTCGATGCGTAGGTGACGAAGGATTCGAAGCATTTATCCGTAAAGGCGCCCAGCAGCTTAAACAAGTTCACACGAAAATCCGGGTAGCTTTCCATGTTATCGGTGATCATGGAGACGGTAGTGTTGAAGACTACGTCGAGAATCGCCCCGCAGTCGGAGGCGATGAGCTGCGAAAGGGTTTGCACGCAGGCCGTAACGAGCGCCAACGCCCCAGCCTCCCGCAATTGCGGAATCGAGTTTTGATAATCCACCAAAACGACCGTTAAGACGTCGGGCATGATGTTTGTCGCGATAAAATCCAAGTGCGCGGAGTGCGCGACAAAACGCTCAAAGATCAGAATAATCTCCCGCTTGGTGAGCCTCATGTATTTGTAGCTCTCTGTGCTAATAGCGGCGACGCCTTCCCGCGTGATCGCGGCGTTCTGTGCGGCCGAGATGGCGTTGTAGAGATAATAAAGATTTTGAAGGATCACGTTCATCTGAAAGATAAACGCATCCCCGCAGGTGCTCGCCACGCTGCTAAAGATGCGTAGAGAGTACAGCAAATCCATCATGATGGCGTGATCTTGGCAGAAGTAGTCCACCCCTTTGACGACCCCCATCGTATTGTTGAAGTGGGTGTTCGTGGGCTCCAGAAACATCGAAAGCAGCTTCGCCTGGTGATCTGGCTTATCCGCGGCGATCATAAAACCCACCGCGGAGAAACAAACCTGCACCTGCTGCGAGGAAAGCAGGGAGGTGATGGTCGACCATTGCGCGGCGATCGACTCCGCGAAGGATGGCACGTCGTCCATTTTCTCTACAAAAAGCGGCGCAAGCTGCTCCGCGAGCTTGTAAAAGGTATCCACGGCCATATCCTGCACCCCAGGGAAGGTTTCGCTCATGAACTCAAATACCTTCCTCGCCACGGTGAACATAAAACGAGGGCGTTTTTGCATAAACGTCTTGTAGCGAGAGGCGACAAACATAATATCGCTCGCGATCACGGCTCTATTCTCCTTCCCCTGCATTTCCTTACACAACACTAGCAGATCTTTAATCATCGTCATGAACAGCTCCGCCTCCTCATCCTCCGGCAGCACGCCGGCGATGGAACCTAGGGCCCATGAAAGGGTGTTGCAGTTATGCCACGACCACTCGCTACGATCAAGTTGGCGTTTCATCAAATTTACCAGGATATCCCGCGTATCCTTCGAATCTAAGTTGGTGTACAAAATAAGCGTTTGGCTCATGAGGTGGTATTGCTCGACCTCCTCGACGTCTGCGATCCGCTCGCGCCGCAGCTCACCGTCTTCCTCGACTAAAATAACCTCCTCCGGCTTCGCCATGCGCTTTATCAGCACGTAGCGCACATCCGTAAACAAGCGTTTTAACTTGGTTGTTAAATTTCGCTTCAGCGTGAAGCTTGTCATGCTAAGTAACTTCTCCCCTAACCAAAACCAATACTCCACACACGACTTGAACATCTCCTTATCGTCTATATTGCTTATCCCAACCAAAAACTCATGTGCGGTAACGAGCAGCTCATCGTTGTACGAGATGTTCGCATAATAATTGCGCAAAAAGGCAGCAATCAGGAGGCCGAGATTGCTAACAAAGTTCTGATCCACGCTATTCCCCTGCTCGTAGAGCTGCACCGTCCGCTCGATGATCGAGGAGTGCGAGGTAGGAAGCGCGGTGACAATGTAGCTCATCGCCGCCTCAAAGGCCTGGAGGATCATCTTCGTCTGAAGATCCCCCTGCGCGCCTTTCTCAGGCTTCACGGTGCAGATCTCTGTGAAACAACGCACCGCCGCCGTCCGGACCTGCTCATCCCCCACCATCAAACATGTCAGACGCCCTAAAATCGCTTCCTGGATCGTCAGCATGGGCGACATCCAGGGCACGTACACCGCGAGCGTCTCCAGCGCCGTCTTCAGCAACGCGGTATCCTCCGACCTCAACAACACCTCCCCACAGACGTCCATAATGTAGCGAAAGTCATCCGCCAGCGCGGCTTTTTTGCGCTCCACCCAACGCGACGTGAGGGTCTTCGCGCCGAACTCGAAAATTTCCTCCCCGATAAGGCGGAAGAGGTTTAAATTATTCTCCACCATCGGCTCGTCATACCGGGCGCTTCCCGCGATATCTTGAATGAAGCTCGGCCATCGCACCGGCCACTCCCGCTTCGCGATGCTAACCAACGTCGTGTTCAGTTTTGTAAGGAGAGCGCGATTGCGGCGTATGTTATCCAGGCTCGCGCACTCCTGCAGGATGAGGCTCAACACAAAGCCCCGCACGGCGCTTTGATTGGCAGCATCTAACGAGTTCCATCGCTGCAGGATGGTATCCTCGAGGATTTGAAGCGCAAAGAACTTGGTGCTCATGTTCTTCGACTTGCTCAACAGCTTGTCGACACGAAAAAAAGCATCAGGGGTTTGTTTAAACCGCGTGAGCACCTCTTGGGCATCCATAATTTCCACCGGGGATCCGCTCGCCAGCTTCAAGACCACGCTATCAAAGAGCTCCACATCAAGTGGTTGGCTAAAGTCCAGGATGCGCTCCATTGATCAGGTGAAGAATTCGTCTTGCAGCGCCGAGCGATAGCTAAGGAGGGATGAAGATACTTGTTTAGATTCAGTGTCAATATGTTAATATAAATAAATAAATATATATATGGTTGCAATACAAATAATAATTTATAGGACGATCAGGGATAAAATCTAGTCAATAAAGAATGAGGCGATGTGTTTGTATGTGAGTGTGTGTGAGTATGTATAATAGCCTTAACTAAGTACAACTTTGAAAAAGGTTTAAATCTACACCTTTTCTCAAAAAAAAAAAGCAATCCAAAAATCCGTAAAAGGCTTCTATTAAATACGAATCAACTAATGTGTCACCCGATGTAGTCTTACCGCCCTTGACTTTATATAGGTCTCCTTCTTTGTTGAGTTGCGTAAGCAAATAGGTAATTATAATACCAATTAAAATATTGTTTTAAGAAAAAACGCGTGAAGAAGATAAAGAGGTAAAGATTATTACTTCATACAGTGGGAATTATACCAGACAATGAAACCTATCCAGTCGAAATCTTTGTCTTGTAGCTTAAATGATTTTGAACTTTGATGTATTCATAGGCTGTGGAAATCTCAATACTTAAGAACACAATGGGGTAGTCGAAACTATGCATATGATAGTACTTTTTCCAGCTTTCATATTTATAAATCTTTCGGAACTAGTGCGTCCTCCAGATCTTGTTACATATTGGAAGCCTTCAACCGTGAAAAATAACAAAACAAACGAAAGAAACAGCAGTGAGGGAAGCACTATTCATCAAATAGCTCTCATTTTGTTGATCTCATGAACCCTTTTACTTTCCCCAAGAGTACTTCTTTCGCAAAATCCATTGCTGATCTCTTGGGAACATTACTTTTCTTCTCAGCCATAATGATGAAATGATGATAAGACAAATATAACCGAAAAACTACACAGTAAGGACATAAATATTATGCTGTTCCTCCTGACTATAGTAAAACAAAAAAACATTCATAGTCCATAATATCCCAAAAGAAATCTCTCAACCATTTATATTACCCATCCCTTCCTTATTATAGGTAGTTAAATAAATAAATATATATCTATATTTGTGTATCCATGTTTTTTTCTTGTTGAGTTTGAGTGTTTAATGGGATAATCAAAATATCAACCACAACCAAAAAAAGAATAGCAACACCACCCATCAATTTGGTTGCTCCTTCTGGTTAAGTGAGGAGAAACGCTCCGGCGCCTTCATGAATCGCCTGCAGCAACTTCGCCCGCATCTGCTCCTTCGTCTCGTAGGCGGGCAGCTTCAGGTAGTTCTGGCAGGTCATCGCGGAGGGCAGCTGATCCTCCTCTTTCACCGCCGCGTCGGAGGAGGTCTTGCGCACGATCGTCATCTTCGGCTTGAGGCTCGCCAGCCCCCCGACCGGGAGGTTCGGGGAGCCGCTGAGAAACGCGAAGAACTTCCGCTGCTCCTCCACGCTGAACGACGCGAGGATGTCGAAGAGCCACTGGACGTGCTTGCAGATCAGCGTGTAGCCGTGATCGGCGAGGCAGTGCTCCTCGAACTCCTGCCGGGTGATGGGGGTGGTGCTGCCGTTGATCAGGTCGTAGATCTCCCCCACGGTGAGCAGCCGGAGGGCGACGAGGGGGATGTAATCGTGGAAGCCCTGCCGGAGGGCCTCCACCGCCGCCGCGACGCCGGTGTCGAGCCAAAACCGCGTCACCTCATCGC